GCGTTATTGTAATCGTATAGCGCTATTTTATTGTCTGGTGCTGGAAGTATGGTGGATGCTTCTTTTGCGGCGCTATCAGCCAGTTCATTGCCTGGTATTCCTATGTGACTGGGGACCCACAAAAATGTTATCGTTTTTTTTGTAATTTGAATAATTTGTGTAATTTGGAAGACAATGGGGTTGTTGCATGATTGAAAGTTCTCTATTAGTTTGAGGGCTGAGTAGGAATCACTAATAATTAAAATGTGGTCATTGTTAATTTCGTTGATTATTATATCTAACGCTAAATATATGGCAAAGAGTTCGGAGAATAGGACTGAATAAATGGATTCATCATTTAAAGTGATAATGAAACTGTGTTTTAGACCTTAAGTAAAATATGTTATAAATGAAAATGATAATAATAACTAATGCGTCATCAACTGATTTAGAAACCTACTACGGATTTTTGAACAGAAGAATGGTTAGGTTAATCATGAATGATCGATCAGTAATCAAGAAAACATGGGCAAAGAATAGAAGATCAAGTTTGTTTGGTGGACCAACTGCCTTTTGGATATTGCCAAATCACCATATTTTACCGTTCCGAAACAACAATAAGACTAATTTGAAATATTTAGAACAGTTGAAACAAGCTATGATAGAAGATTCTTGTGAATAGTCCGCAGCATAGGCCATGTTTATCAAAGTGTTAACACTCGTCTAAAACTGCGCTAATGACTTCATTTTATCGTAATCTTTAACATTTTGTTTACGAAAATTGTAAGAAATCGAAGTAAAATTGTAGGTTACGATAAAATAAAGCCGTTAATGAAGTTTTAGACGAGTTTAAATAATTTGATCGAAGCGAGGACTAAAAGCATTTCTGTCATCCCTTTCAAAGGCTGACGGTCAAGTATGCTAAATGTTCTACAGGATGTGCGATATGGATTTCAGATCGTATTCGATTTGTGAATAGCAGAATTCGAAAATTCCGTTATGATTTTGGGTGCCAGATCAGATCAGTGGTATTGATGAAACTGGAGATACCATCGAATGAACTATATATTTGTTTTCTTTTTACGTCGGATGGAGGGTTTGTTTCGAAACTCCAAATGTCAGTTTAAATCTAAAAATCCATCACTCAAAATAATTCGCCCTCGGTCGAGAGAAAAACGGCCGTTATGGAGACTATCCTATTGCTCCATCACTTCCTTACCGAGAGCGTATTGATCAGCCATATTCTGACAGACTGCCATGATATCTCTGACCTTAATAAACCGCGCTTCACCATAGGGCTCTCCTAATAAAAGTAATTAAGCGGATACAATGCGACCATATGGCCGCTTCGCGATATGTTAGTCTTGTTAGTTCACTATAGTCCCGCCTAATGAAGTGTGCCGCGGCTGCTGCCGATTTATGAACGGTGGATAGTTAATCGAGGAAAGATCGACAAAGAGGAATAGGCCATACCTTCTTGACGATCTATTGCTCTTCAGAGATCGCCAAATCACCATATTTTACAGATTTAATCTAATTTTAAGACTCTTAAGAAACGCATATTTATAGTGACAGATCTCTATCAATCCCGATACTTATCTATTATCGTGATGATTCCAGTTACTGAAATTTATTAAAGATCTTTATCTCTCAACATTCATAAACCTGGTGATTCTTACATAAGATCTGTTTTTTCAGAGCTGATATACTGCGCTGTACCAACCAGTTTCCTCACAAAATAGGAAATATGCAAAGCTCTTCTAAAAGAATATTTTTCCTCGGACATTTCGCCTCGTTTTATTTATAACTACCTATGTTAATAAATAGTTACGCAACGCAGTACAAAAAGTCTTTACAATGTTTACTTACCGCAACATACTTCCGTAATCGCATTTATGAAAATCTATTTGCATATATATTTAAATTTATACAAGTAAAGTTATAAAGAGATATTTATTATATTAAATTGAAATTAATTGGAAATGAGCCAACGTTATTTAGCTATTTCATTCTTTCTCTTTGAATCCCCCAGCCACAGCCCACTGTTTTCACAACTCCCTATGCATGGTCAACCTTTTCATCTGGGCAATTCATTCATTCAGGATTCGCTATATTTTTCTGTCCTTTGGGTGTCTGCACAGTTGGCGTTTATTCCTTTAGTGAAACCACTTTTAATTCTTCTCTGACGATTTTTTAATTATCTTATTCATTTTTATTAGACTTGGACTTAAGCAGTTGACTTTTGGTGGCCCATTAAACCGTCTAATTCCTCTCATATATCTAATTCCTGACAATCCAAATTAATTGGTAAAATCCTCAATGCTCCTTACTTTGTCACATATAAAATCATCTATAATGACCTTAATGTTCCACAAGTTTTCGATTCCGTCCAATCCTTCCATAAATGAACTTCAAAACTAACCGAACTCTCTCGTTTCTAACCTTGATTTCTCTGATAACCCTCCGAGGCATCTGAAAAGAACACTGCCTCGTAATCTCTTAATGTAGAAATATCATTAGAGTGCTACCAGAGGGAAGTTTCTCTAAAAGTCTTTTCATGTCATTATATTTCTCTGTTCACAAGGACTTGATGTATTTTTATTTTTACTGAGTTGTAAATTTCTTGAATAAGAAGAACATATTATTAGAAGATAACATTCTTAACGAATCAAATAAATAGATAGAAGCTATTCAGTATAATTTCAGAATCAGGAATGACTCTTTCAGCGAGGAGGATGGTATGTGGGTGGTCTCGGAAAGGGCTTGTAAAGCGATAAAGAGACGCATAAGCATTCCGAAAGCCGCCTGTTTCAAAAATATATTCCTGAACTATTCAATAAATAATTGAGTCCATACCTGTCGACAACCACACTAAACTGTACTGCAGGCGTGAATATAATGTAGCAAGCTAGAATATTACAGTACAAAATGATTCAACAAGGAACTGCAACTGATAATGTAGAATGTTAGACCACCATAATGCTAGCCGTACAGGGCTTGAAGCTAATGTGCAGTTACCTAGTTTTCAGGTGTATTATCTGTCGAATAATGGGAGGTTATTTATTGATGGATAATACAAGTTTTATTTATTATATAATGTAATATTTAAAACGAAAGTTATTCATTCTGCTAGAAATAATTTCCTCCTAGACCATGAAACTATTAAAGCTATATATCTGAATGGTTCACTTTCAGAGTTATGGATTTTCGGATGAGTAAATCTTATATTTATTTCAATAATGATTGAAATGATCTTAATTCCAGAACACAAGAGGATCTAGGGAGAGGCTTTCGGACTGAAGCCCTCCAAAATGGTAAAATATAATCACGTATTACGAAGTAAATAATAAAAACATATCTATAAAGTATTATTGTTTAGTTTCTTTCTTTTTTCCCAAAGTAAAAATCGATATATATATATATATATATATATATATATATATATATATATATATATATATATATATATATATCGATTTTTTAGGATTTATATATATAAAACTTTCGGGCTGTAGGCTCCAAAACTGAATCCTGGATCCGCTAGAGCTCCAGATAAAAAGTAGTTTAATGTGAATGATTTAGCTATACTCCTGACAATCCAAGGTCTGTCGAGATTCTTTAAGCGACCGAATAGACGACAAGTAAGCATATGCTATCAAATGAAGCATTTCAATCAACGAATAATTGATTATTAAAATAGTCATCATCATCATTATATTCCTTTCTCTTCAAGAACAGCAGAAGCACACCTATAGGTTTAGATAAAGATGGCTATGTTGGTTGTGGCTGTAAATGGTGATCCGATAACTTAGGAAGAAATGAAGAAGAATTTATCAACGACTAAGGAGGAAAAAGTTTGAATATCTTTATTTGGCAAACGACCTCAGTAAAGCAAATACAATCTTTCCGCATAAATAAAGCCATGAAAATCCTCAAGAGAAGAATAAGAAAATATCTAGTAGAGACTCTTTAGGTCAGAAAAATAAGCTCAGAAACTACATGAAACAAGAGTTGAAAGAGAATCGAAGATCTCACATTAATGGCGATACCATCTGTGGTCACGAATAAATCACGAAAAAATGGTTGGACTATTTTATAGATATACCAGAGGAGAAAGATGGAAATCACAAAAATCGTGGGAGTTATGCCGAGTTAAAAGTCCCACCGGGTACCGGGATTTGAACTCGTGATTATTTATGGTAACGCTATATTTTATATATATTATTTAGGGTAACGCACGGTTCTGTTCACACGCTTTTACGGTACATTAGCCTGCTCAGCCACTCTAACCTGCCCCATTCCTTCCCAAAAAAAAGAACATGATTGAAGCAGCAAACGAGGACCATTACAGTTAGAGCACTTTAACCATTGGACCAATCAGGTCATATCTCCTTTCTACATACTTCAGAGCCTGCAACTTAAATCTTTATCCAATTCTAATTTGTCCCATCCCATCTTCTCTCATCCTTCTGACTTCTACCATCCTTCCCACCGATCTGCTGCGTTTGACAAATCATTCCTAACTGGAACTGGTAACCTCTGGAACTCGATCCCGCCTATCATTTGCCATGCTTCAATCGTTTCCTCGTTTAAACCTTTCCTCTTCAACAGCCTTTTCCTAGCCCAGTCTAATTAATATCATTTTAAGAGGAGGTCGCTAGACTGACTAAACTATCTTCTACCTGAAGACCCAAAGGATAGAACAATATTTCACGAGAAGTTTAAAAATCTTTTATGTAATTAAAGAAATGGCATTGTTTCATAGCATAGTCCTGCAAAGTCTGTTTTGAAATACTAGAGACTAGAATGAAAAGAGGACTTGATATTCAGAAATGAAAAGAATAGTAAGACTTCAGAGATCAGCAAAGCACAGAAGACCTCATCCTAACCATGCAATAAATTCAAATTCATAAACTATAGTAAGAAACCCATTTTTTAACATCTCATCAAGAGTAAAATATTTAATTTTTAAATTCTCAGTTAAAAAAAAAATTATCAATATATGAACTAAAATTGCCTACCTTGAGGTCATCCCGAAGCCAAGTAATTGTGGGATTAGGATCACCAACTACCTCACAGCTTAGAATTATTGTATCTCCTTCGAGTCCTTCTACATTTCTTGGCTTCATAATAAACAGTGGTTTTTTAGAGTATCTGGGAAAAATTGAAAGTAATAGTATGTTTTATAAAATTTAAAACATTTAATTTGTATATTAATTTATTGATTTGTATAGATCTTATATTGATCCATGATTACTTGCCAATTCTGATGATTATGGCAATAATGAAGGCATTATTCAGTTTTATATTAAGAATGATGATGATGATGAATAAATTCAAGGAAAATAGTATTATAAATTTTAAAAAATAAATGGAAAACTTAAGCTATAAAACCATTACTGTGACAAATATAAAGACTTCAGAATAGATTTACATATCTTAAATCGAAATAATGAACACGATTATTGATATTCTATACTTCAATCAAAACAAATTAAAATTCAGTTCAAATAGTTTTATGAAAATCAAATTAATATAATACTGCATTCAGAGCTATCAATTTAATTTTATTTATTTATCTATGAATATAAGTTTTATATCTTCAAATTTAAATAAATAATTTACTAACGGTATAGGGGTAGATGGAGCTGGGGTTGTTGGGGTAATGGAGTTGACTACTTCAATCTCACACTTTGATTCTGCCTTCATTCCTCCCTTACCATAGACAGTACATGTATAAGTACCAGCAGCTCTTCGAGTAACATGTCCCAGTTCAAGTGTCACTTCTCCACCAGCAGAATGAGTCATTACACAGTTCCGAGACTGTACAAGATTAACTCCATCACGTGACCTAGAAGTTAAAGTAATTATATAGAAAATGCTAACATACTATAGATTAAATAAAAACCATACTCAGTAAAGAGGCAACAATATTTTTAACAATAGACTCATTGTATAGAAATCATATACCACCTTTAATGAATGAAAATATAATCAGTATATTTATTTAAACAGTGGAAAACAGATGAGAAGAGGTAATCAACATTTATATTTATAAATCAATAAAATCTGACATGTTTTACAATTACAGTTAAATATTATGCTCACACTTTTACAATTTATTTGAAAAATGTGATTTAATGATGATCAAATTTATATGTTCAAGCAAGTCATTTTCCATGATTTTTGTAACTACAGATTGATATAGATAAGTTAAAATATAGAAGAGGTCAAATATAAGTTGAATTTGTGGTGGATCTAATAACATGCATAAATCATTCAAGGGTATCATAGTAGTAGGGCAGATGAGAGGTCTAAAGAAAAATGTTACATTTTTTTTTCTTTTTTTGCAACAAAGTTGTCATTCAAATAAAATTTTTAAAAATCAGTTGATGTGAGTTTAGTTTTGAGGGCCCTTAAAAAAAATCGACAATTTATTTTTAAATTCAATAATGCTCTCAAAACAAGAACATAATTTGGATTAAAATACACCTTTTTAATTCTGATAAGAACAACATTGGATCCATAGATTTTAGCATGTATGTTTTATAAATAATTGTTGTTCCTCCAGTTTTGTCTCATCCCATTTTGCGACAATTTTTCCTCAAGTAAAACTAATAAGCACTCTCAAAGGCATAAATATTTTTTTCATATCACAAAAACTGTTTCTTATTTGCAATATTTTGATCATCAAAATAAAAATTTTAAAAAAACTGATCTCATAACTTGGACTAAAAAATTGCACAGTAAATTGAAGACTGTACATTCCACATTCATTATTATTGAATGTCACTATCAATGTTTGTGGCATTTAGCTGCCTATTAGCTAGTTGGCTAGGGTATTTGTTTATTTTTCCACATTTAATTTGATTTTTTTTTCATATACCATTATTAATGTCCAGTCTTCAATTGTAAATTTTAGGCATAGATGTGCCCAAGGTAGTATTATCATTGAGGATCACTTTTCCTTAGAGATTTTTGGCAAAGAGTCAGATGATGTTGATCAATTTCATACTAGTGATAATTAATTGGACAACAGAAGGGAACCAATCAATATTGCCAATTTTTCAAGTAAACTCAACTCAAAATTAAATGGTCTTGAAAATCAAAAAGCTTTCAAGTAAATGTATTTTCTTCTTTGCTCCCTAAACCTGATTTAATCCTTCATCTTACACAAAATCTTGCTACTACACTTATAGAATAATAAATATTTAACTTTACAGTAGATATAAATTCTGTTTTTTTCTCATTTTTTTTTTTTAGGAATGCTGTATTCCTAGTATTCCAATATTTTTATATTCAATTTTGATTTTCCATTGAAGATACCTGATCCAAGAGATGATCAGTCATGATTACAAACAATAATCAAAATCACTTCTAAATCATTTTTCCACATTTTTTATATTAGTCCTCTTCTGATAACTGTCATCCAATAATTATCAGACAGGTATCATTGATATAATCTTTTATTTCAGTGTAAAGTTGAAACACTTGCCTAATTAACGGCGAATAGTTTAGGCACAAATGCCATGTTCTAACTGACTTCAGAACTAATTCTGTAGCATTGTCTCATGATAAAAGTTAATAAACTGACATAGTTTCTTATACCACAGCTTAAGATTTTTTATTTTTTTCTTATAACGTAAACTTGGTATCACTTGGTAGCATGGTACTTTATCATGATTAGAGGATAGTTTGGTTATTCAAATAGTTTACTATTTTACTATTTGTGTGATTTAAGATAAAACATCTTTGTGCTTTATTATTATTATTATGTTTAATGAATTATTCCTTCATGAGCATTATTTCTTCAGAAATAAAATTATTTAGCTTTTTAACATATTATTTACAGTAAAATTGTGACAATATACAAAGAAAAAACCCTGCAAATTATTTTACAATGGTTTATTATTTCCAAATAATTATACATCTAAAGTAGCATTACCTTCTTTGTGTCAAAGAAAAAGAAATAAAACGGGATTCCTATTATTGGCCTAAATATTTTTTTTTCATCATTAGTAATTTGCTAAAGGAAATAGCATTATTATAGTAACACAATAAAAAGTCAAAAATGAAAACCTTTTGAGTAGAACATATACAAAACATCTAGAGACCATATCTTTGCTCCTAATTGTCAGAATTTTTTTAACCATAACCATGGCGGATGGACAAAACTATTTTTATTCGTTTTTCGAATTTTACATATCCTGAAACGTAAAACCTCAAATTTTGAGAGAGCGTGAAGTTTTTGAATTTTTTGGTTCATTATTGAAAGTAATTAACCAAAAATATTTAAAAATCGTGATATCTTTACTAATAATGCTCCGATTTAGATGCAACTATCTTAATTTTTTAGGAAATTTAAATACTTTTCCAACATCTTACCATAATATCATAATATCTTATCATAAATATCCATCAAGATTAACAAACAAGTAGATACTTTTCGATTTATTTCGAATCTAATTTTACCATCTCTCCTAACTTTTTTTTCCAGTTTCTTTTCGTTGAAGTATGTTATATAGATAAATTTAAAAGAGAATTGAGAAGAAGACTAGCCAAGTTTCATTGAAATCGGTACATCCGTTTAGGTGCTACAGTCTATTTCTTTTACTTATGATTAAGTTAGGATTAATTGTTTTTTGTTTGTTTTTTTGCCTACAAAGAAAAATATTCATCAACTTTTAATAAAATAACTGAAAACCAACTCTCAATTGTCACTTATTCATATATTAAATTTCATTGACCATTTTCGGACAGTTAGGTTGAGAGGGATGATGGAACAGGAAGGGAATAATGAGTAATGACAGTATATGGCATATATGATATACATATATATATGTACACGAAAATTTAAAAAAAAAATTAAATTATTAATGGTTAATCCTTTGTTTTAATTGAATGAAGAATTCCAAAACTTACTGTAGGATGATTTATTTTTCAGGTGTTACATGTCTTAGTAAAAGTTAAAGCACATAAATAAGAGGGTTAGTTTGGTATGAAAAATAAATAAAAGTGTTATCATATTCATTTATTGGAATTGACATTGTGTATTATAAAACAAAATTATTATATGATCAGTTAGTAATAACACAAACAATACTTCAACAGACAATACTTGATTCCAATTAAAATAAACTGCTAAAAAATAAATTATCCTTCATATGAACATTATATACATATAAATTATACTAGCATTTATTTTAATTATAATAAATTTCCTAAATTTAAATGTCATGATTAATTTTACCACAAAATACATTTATACATATTTTTCTAAATTTGTATTTATAATTATTTTTTTCTTTTTGGGCCCAATTTATGTTTCATATGCTTAAAAACTCCTACATCTAATTAATTTACCAGATAATGGTGAAACTGATAAGCAGCTATGGATAATTTTTACTTTGTTAACTGGATAGAACTTTATTCTTTTTTTTTTTAAACCCATGAATTGGGATTTTAATTAATTTTTATTGATGCAATCTCTGTTGTTAAGTAATTAACAGTGAATTTATATATCGTTCCTTTTTTAAAAATATTGTAAAGGACAAAAATTGTATTTTTTAATATCCTTTTATTTTAACAAAATTAAATGCGAAAACAAAGATACCTACAAAGTGTTATAAAAGAATTATCTTTCTGAAATATCTAATTGATAGAGATAGTATCGATGAAACCAAATAGCAGTTTTTCATTCAATATGTTGAATAAGAAAGAATGAAAACTTAAAAATTGTAAAAGGTAAGGGAAAAAAAACCGCTAAAGAATTAGTTTGATGGCATATATTTAATATCCATTATTTTAAAAGTCAAACAAGTATGAATTTATTGATTGATTTTACAGGCCTTCTCTGAATTAAAACGTATTTATGACTTATTTAATAATAATAATAATACCTTAATTTACTTGAGGCAATGATAGAAAGGAAATAACTTAAGTTAAAGTTAGTAAAAGTGGACAAAATAAAAAAATTAGCTAATAATGTGCTAAATCTGTGCATGAAACGGTATATTATTTATTTGAAAATAAAAATCAGATTCCGAGACACCCCCATCTAACTTAAAAATTCTAAATTAGTGCTCCAAAACATTTGGCAATAACTGCCTCTACGTAGATTTTTAAAAACAAATTAAAATTAATCAATAAATTTATATTTTAAAAAATCTGTTCATATCAGATTCACTCTCGTGTTTCTGGAACTTAAAATTATTTCAGTAGAACTTTGAATATTTACTGTATTAATAACTATCTAGCATTGTTCTTCAAATAAGACTGTGTAAATATAAATATCTAAATAAAATTTATAATGATGAATAATGAAAAAAAAAGTACTACTGCCATTGATCATTTATTGTTTAATTTCAAATAAATTTAATATATTTTTTTTTTCATTTCTTCTTTCACATTCATAAAACTTAATATTAGTACATTTATACAACATAATTTTTAGCTAAAAATGTGAAATAAATAATATGTATACCATATAACTTTTGCTAGTCGTAAGTGTGGTGCTAATGTTGCAATGAGCCTTATGCTTCCACCTAGTCCAACTCTTGCATAAGGCTCGAGAGGGAGAGTAAAGTGACATGGAGAATGTGGATTGATGTGCACTAAAGCTGATGTAACAGCAACCCCTAAACCTTTGGCTCGTGCAGTGTACAATCCCTCAGTTTCTGGCTTAGCTACTAATTCTAGAGTATGGAAATCTCCCTCCGAAAATATATGATAATCTGGAACAGTTTATTAAATTAAAAGTTATTTTATAAAGATATATTATAAATTCAGTTAGTAAGAATTGAAACAACAAATTGAGTAAGAATTGATACGACTTACTCTCATTTCTAACTGGCTCGCCATCTCTCTGCCATTCGATAATAGGCTTTGGCTCTCCAACAACTTCAAGTGTAAGCCTTACTGTTTCTCCTAAATCTACTTCTCTGTCCTTTAAAGGGTATTTTATTTCTGGTCCATATTCGCCTTCAGGAGGAAGCAACCTATAAAATTTATATCGCATTAATCTCAAAAGACTTTGAAAACATAATGTTTTAAATCATTTAGGCAAACAAAAGAGAAAAACAATATCCATATTAAGTTAGCTTGGCAACTGGTTATAGCCTTTAAAGACAGACTTCAAAAAACAATTTTGCCTTTCTTTTGTTTCTTCTGTGCACATTACCAAACGATTAGAACTGCATTTTTCAAACACATGGATCTGTATGACAAAATAACAAGCCTTGTCTTTCTAGCTATCTTCTGAAATTTCAGAAACAGGTAATCACGGTTTATTTAATGAGCATAGATTGTGAACTAATACCAGGATAGTATTTCAAAAACATGTGTTTGTTCGAGTGGTTCTTACTTTTTATATTTCCAGCATCAATAATGCAAACTTAAAAAAAGAGAGAACTCAATATAGATACTAATAACAATGTTATATCATTTTTTAGAATATAACTATCATATTATAACAGAACAAATAAATGTTTCAATATCCTACGTCCTTCAATGCCAAAATCAACATAACAGAATACCTATAATGAAAAAATTATACTTGTTTGTATTTGATGTGATATTATTTTAACTAATAATAGTATGATGACTACCTAATTTTATGCTTCTCTGGAAGATGAGACCCGGGTACATCTATAGATATATAGCAGTGTGTACTAGTCTTTCCAAGATAATTCCTTGCTTCACAGACATAAAGACCTCCTTCTTTAAGCCCCTCAAGAACCAACTCATTCCCGCTGACTCTGAGAAGTTCCCCATTTTTGAACCAATGTAGCTCTGGTTCTGGATTTCCTTCAGCCTAAAAATATCACTTTGTTATTAATCTAGCACGACATAACTTTGGCATTACACTCTGGAACCCATTACTCATTATATATCAATCATAAAGAAAATAATTATTATTAAGAGGAAACATTATTTTTCAGATTGATAAACATTTTTCATTATAATATAAGAAGATAAAGGTAAAATTTAAAAAAAAAAAAATAGAAAACATGATTAATTAATTGAAAAGGAAGAATGGATTTTTTAAATTTTATTTGATATTTTGTTTATTTCACGATGATTAATTAACTATGATGAGTAAATAACTATTTTTTGCTATGGATATTTCAGATAATTAATATAAAATAAAGCTAAATCTATATCAAATAATAATAACAACTAAATACATTCTCATAAGAGTCATAATTTTAACCCAATATTATGATTATCAATATATTAAGAACAATATGTAAAAATAATACTAATAAAACTACATTGGGTCTATCTAAAGAAGAAGTCCTGTTGACTTGAGGTTCAATACTTCCCTTCAATCAGCAATCAATACTGCCTTCAGTTAAGTAACAATTATTTTATAAGCAAAAGTTGCCATGTCACACTTCTACTAACAGTTAGATAAAATCAATATTGATGGAAGTAGGTTTAATTACTACTATTGCAGAATCATAACCCACTAGTTGATTTGGAATCTACTCCAATATAGACCGCATTTTATTGCTACTCTATGCAGCTGCCTTCCAATTTCTGACTTCAAGAACAGATCTTGCCTCAGTAACCATGCACATTTCCTTATGGAACCCCACCTGTGCAACATGATTGGTATCATTCATTTTATGGTACTGTTTAAGATTCTGAATAGTGTTTCCTTCCAATCTATTTTTGCAATGTTACCAATCCAACAAAGTTTATATGACCATATGAAATGTGGTTGCATCCTATTTTATATATTCCTCTCTTAACTCGGCATTCAATCTACTTCTCCAAGAGCTAGGCTAATCTATTCCACTGTATATTTGATAAAGCACTTTCTTTCTCAAGAGGATTTGTTTTTGGGTTTTAGTCTTTGACTAACATTTTAGCCATATGTAAGTATTCATTTAATGGAAGGTGAGGCTTATGTAGAGGGTTAAGGCGTCACTTAAGCTGCTCCCTTTGGTTAGAATAGGTTGATTACTTAATAAGATAATATCTACTGTGTATTACGGTAACTTACCAGCTTAATAAAAAAAATCAACAGTAATGATAATAATTACAAAGAAACTAGGTAAATAATGATGTAGATTTACACAATTGATGATGGTAAAATGGATTATTGAGAATATATGATTTATACAGATATACATATATTATTTTATCCAAAGAAAGATACCACAAACAATACTTTCAAGAGACCAATACAGCATTATAAATACTTCTACACAATCTTATATACCCACGAGCTCAAAGAAATCTCACATTTAGAACAAAAGCTTTATTTTTTAAATAATTTAAAATATATTGTCAGTTTATAGCAAAAAGTCACCAAGCACACTTTTGATGGAGTTAAATCTAACAGTACATCGCTGTGTTTTGATTATCTATGCACAAACTCACATTAATTAAGGTGCGCTAGCGGATCCAGGATTTAATTTTGGGGGAAGCTTCAGCCCCAAAGATTTTTTTTCATATATATATCAATAATTAATTTGAAAAAAAAAAGAAAGAAATGAACTACCTATATGAAATGGTGTTTAAGTGATTTTTGAAGTCCTATTAAATGTAATTACACGAACAATAATACTTTAAGAGATAGTTTTTAATATTTTTTTCCATAAAACATGGTTATATTTGCCCGTTTTGGGAGGGGGCTTCAGCCCGAAAGCCCCTTTCCCCCTCCTCCCCTCCCCCCCGTAAATCCGCCTGTGCTAAGGTGTCAAAATAACACATATAACATATTAAATGTCAAAAATGGTCTCACTTCATGCACTATCTTCTGATTTTAAAAAGAGAGAAGTCTTAAAGTTACTTAGTGATTTTATTTAATGAAATGTTACTTAATGACTTTTCCCAATCAACTGAAATTATTTGTTACTTACTTTTATGTTATTAATCAAACTAATAATATATTTTTGAAAAAAAAATCATGAAAGAAGAAATATCCACCAAAGTAACAAACAATTTGATCAATGTGTTATCAAATAACTCAAAATATAATGTGTTATCAAAATATATAACTTAAAATGATAACTTAATAATAACTTAAAGATAAAAAAACAAAGGAAAAACATTATTACTTTGCAGGATAATGTAACTCTCTCATTTGGAGATACATTTAACTGTCCTTCTAACTCTGTGGAGAAATATGGAAGAAAAAAGTTAGTTTCTGGTAATTTTAATGTTTCTTGCACAGGTTCTCCCCAACCATGGTTGTTGGCAGCTGTTACTCTAACAGTTTTAGTTCCTTTTAATCCATATATATCAAGTTCTGTTCTTGGTGACAACCCCAACTAAACAATCAAACCTTCAGTTCAATCAAAGTTAACATTGAAAATTACAAAAAAATCATGGTAAATGGCATAATAATATAGTACAGTATAATAGTTGATATGTACATATACATTTTTATGATGGTCTTTGACCAAGATGAATGTATGTATAACATTTGTGTCTTTGTATACGCATTGCTACAATATTTTATACATACACATATATATCTTCGATTAATTACAAAAAGTCACCAGTAAGATTTGATTTGATGGAACGAAACTTTTTATGAATTTCATCCTTCTTTATGGATAAAAAAAACAGTAAGTGGATCAATATGACCCAAACCCTCTTAAATATCAAACATGTCAACAGCAACACCAAATTTTTTGATATTACTAAGAGAAAATTAATTAAAATTCTTAGTGATTATGCTTATGAAATTTTAATTAGTGGCGTTTTGCAATTAAGCAATAATAAATATCAGAAATCATGATAACAATCAAAAGGATTAAACAGAAACAAAAACCTCAAATATTAAAATATTTATTAAAGAAAACTAAGAATACTTTATTATAATGTAATGTAACTCTGTAATTGATTTTTCCTCGTTTGAGAATATTCCAAAATTGCATTATGTTCTTTGGGCTTTTCCTGATTAAAAAACATTATCAGTGAAAATTTCGAAAATTATTTACAGCATTGTTTAAACTTTAGAGCTAAAAGTAAGGTATCAATACTATCTATATGAAATGGAAGAAACTTTGATTAATATTTGAAATTTGTAGTGATTTAAAAGAAAAAGGGCTCTTAACTTGCAAACTAATTACAAATTTATATTTGTTGTGAGCTACATTATATTTTAATTTAATTCAATGTTAAATTAAGTAACATTTAATTGAGTACAATTTTTTTTACCTCTTTCCACTCATCATTTTCATCAAGCAGTTCAACTCTGTAAACAGCAATAGCAGAACTACCTGGGTCACTGGGTCTATTCCAACCAATGGTAACACAATTTCGACCTTCATCTATAAGTCTGATGCTAGAACAAATGCTTGGACCTCCTATAAAGAAATTAAATTTTACTTATTCAATCCTTGAAAACTAAATAAATTAATTATACATTGTTCCAGAAAATATTTTTAATCAAATGGTTTCCCTACCACCAGTAAATAAAATAAAATATGATTACCATAATATGGTTATTTAAAAAAAAATTAACAATAGAGATGCTTACCCATGGGCACCATAGATATAGAACTATTATAGATTTCCATTATTATTGTTCTTGTAGAGAATAAAGTATTGCTCAGGATTGTCAAGATTTCTAAATGTTTTGAGGTTATTTTGAATTATTTTAATATTTAATATGTTTTTTTTTTGTTTTTCTTTGATTTTGTAACTCATTAGAATTTCTAACTTTGTTTATAACTGATTTGATTTTTTAAACGTTATCTTTAAATGATTCATTTCTTGTATAAGGCTAAATTCCACCAACAGTTCAAAATGCCATAATACATGGTATATGTGAGCAAATCATTTTTAAAAATATACTCTATTTTATGAAATTAAATTTAATGATTTAAAGAGGGATTGTTATAAATCTTACGATAGTAAATATAAATACAATAAAATAATACCCTAAAAGTCAAATAATATTTACAACAAACGATAGGGAATATGTAAAAATAGAAATCCTGAATGTTCATTAAACATAAATAATTAAAAGTCTGAAAAAAACAACACAAAACCATTCAGATTAATAATTGAGGAGTGATGATTGACTGTAGTGAATAATTGAAGAGAAAAATGGTTGGGGTGATCAGTCAAAAAAATTATAAAAATAAATAAGTATATTTATTTTCATTTTTACCGATGTTTCGTTTCCGCAAGACTGTGCAATGGATATTGTATTGATGGATATTGTATTGGATATTGTCTCGCAGAAACCTTTCATTTGACCAACCCTGACACAGGCCTGAACTTTGACCCGAAACATTGGCAAAATTAAAAATAAATATATTCCCACTGATCACCCAAACCATATAAATTAATATTTTAAATTAGGTAATAATTTAAGGGATTGGATTAAACAAGAATTAACACTTAAAATATTATACGTATTAATAATAAAATATTTAGGGTATATTTGTTCCTCCATTTTTATTTATTTTTATTACACTGGCAACGTTTCAGCTGTTGTTGCCATTTTCAAGCCATTTCAATTATGATGTTCATTATGTGAGCCCAACATGTTGGTTTTTTAGTCCTTAATATAGTTTTAACATTTTATTACCAATCTAATTTCACCTTAAACTAAAATATACTGAAATCATGTATATATTTGTTTATGAATTAATGTAAATATAGGAAAAGTAATTAATAAAATGTGAGAATATCAGGATGTGGATACACAAGTATTTTTTGGAGAGCGAAATTTAAAATTTCCTAACAAGTTCTATAGTTGAAACAAAATATCCCAATCTCATTAGTTAAAACAAAGTTTCTAGAACATTAATTTTAAAAATTACAATGTATTTACATAGTACAGAAATATTTTAATTTTCACAGCTCTTTAAATTTATAAGACCAGATAGGCAGTTATATGTTGAAAATGTTGGCACTCTTTTATTACGAAGAAGAAATATGATACTTCATATTCCACTCCACATTAAATTTAACAAATGTTAACATTATTCATAATTTTTTGCCATATCAATCCACTGTGGGACGGTTCAAGCTATGGTATATAACTATATCTTTTTAGAGTGGTCGAAAACATTCAGTATAATGTAAGCCATTCACCTCCCAATGTCAATATGCTTTAAGTTTGATTATTAATAAACATTATAATGTAGGACCGAATCTTATGGAGATTAAACATAGAATAAAATACATGTCCCATATTTCATTCCAATGGGCTTCAAGAGCCAAGAAAAAAATATTGTGATTTTTTTAGATTAAATTTGTTAGTTTATCAACTTACATCTAATTTTATAATTTTGAAACCTTTTAGTTTTTAATGAAATTAATTTTCTAACAAATTAATTTATAATATCGAACTATATTTATAATGTTTACTCCTAACTTCTTTCTGTATTACAAAAATAAGGAAAAGATTTCACTTTTATTTCTTACTCAGTTTTTGAATGAATTATTTTTCTCTGTAATATCTTTAAAATAACAACTTATTCATATTTAATTATATTATTTATTTTACTATTGTAACATAGTAGGTGTGAAATTATATAATATATTGTATTATTTAAAACCTTAAAATTATATACCACCACAAAAATCTATATAAATTTATTTTAGCTGGTTTGATTGATTTCATTTTCTTTACTATAGTTCACTTTGTAAGAAATAACTTTATTAGAAAAATCTAAATATATAACCACATAACTTAATCCAGAAAGATTATTTTTAAATTTAAACAATAGAGAAAGCGTCATTGATACATGATGTTTTCGTTTTAAAAATCTATTTCTTTATCTTTTTTATGGTTCAACAGGATATTGGAGTAGACATTGTAATAATATTATGTCACAGCATGATTTCCAATTGGTCCCAGTTACATAAAAAAACATGAGACCCAATAAGATAATGGTTTTGGAAAATATTTCATTCACTTAAAATTATAGTTTGTAACTGTCATATGATATTTATAAGGTGTATAGATGTATAAACATTATAGAAATTTATTTATCTCTGTTTTTAATGAAACTGAATAAGGACAAACCTTAATAAACATTATTAATGTTAATGTTCTAATAAAGTACCTACCATTTTAGGCCTATTGTCCACTGGAAGTGATAATGTGAGACTATACACAAAGTGACATTTAGAAACACGGGTCTATAACCTGTTAACTCGCCGATAAAACAGTAAATAATTTTAGTGTTACAACAGCATTTATTATTCCTCCAAGGGCTGGCTGATCTAGAAAGGGATACCCTTAAGCCATTGTGCAAATTTATTGAAGAATCCAAGATAGATTTTTAAAAATAAATAATAATAATGTACGTCCATATCTCCATTCTATTATAATATAATAATAGGGGCAGTCTAGGACTTCAGTGGAGTCTTGGGCCGACAAAAGGAAAAAAATAGAGAAACAGCACTTATCAGTTTTTTGGAAATTGGTATTTATGTTGTTGTTTTTTATTTATTCGTTTTCAATACTGAAAATAAATAGAAAATTGCTTTATACTTATACAAATAAAAAAATTAATTTTTGACTAACAACAAATACATATATGTATTTTAAATAACTTTTAAGTACAAAATAAGAATCTTTATGAAAAAAAACGTTTTCATACCTGTTCATATTATATAATAAATAATTTATTTATTTCTTTTAGACAAAACTTTTTAAATTAATATTTTGAATGCAATTCTTTGTTTTTTTAGTACCATTTTAAGCCATTTAAGCATTTATGGGTTAATCTCATAAGGCATTTATCCACTCATCTTTGAATTCAATTGGGGCGGCATTTCCCATTGTTCTTTTGACAATTTAATTTTAATATATTTTACTGAAATTATATTTTTATTACTGAACTTTTAATTGACACAAATCCATAAATGTTCGATGGGGTTTAAATCTGGAGTTTGAATAGGAGTTTCGTGCTCATTTTGATAAATATAAAGCAGCCATTTCCATGAGAGGTTTGAGCTAAGGATTATAATCCTGGTAAATTTAAAAAAATGTTCATTTTATACTCATTTCCACCATTTAGCTCTTACATTTCCTTTTAAATATATCTTGATTACTCCATTGTAAAAACCAAATTCTCGAGGCCACATGGAAACATACACTCACAAGAATACTACAGCCTCCAATTTTCATTGTAGCTGATATTTTCTAACTTTCTTTCTCATTATATATATTAAATTTGTTCTCTTAATATATTACATCATTCTAGTAATGTTTATGTTGTTTTTTTTTAAACTCTTTTGTAAAAGCAAACCTATTTTTCTTATTTGTTAAATTTATGAGAGATCTTTTCCTATTCACATTGGCTTTAACTTCTGATTGTTTAAATATTCTCCAAAATGTCCCATATCGAGCTCATTTTCTTAATAGTTCTCATTTATTTCTGGTGTTATTTTTGTATACTGTAATGGCTAATGCAGCAAAAATGGGTATAGAACATTCAAATTTATTAGGATAATAATTTTTTGCCCAAAGCTCTCCAAGTAGGTCACCTATTTCAACCAAATTGTTTTGTGATTCTTCATCGAAAAATATTGGACATGTGTCTCATAATTCGTTCCAACATTCTTTAGGAACAGAGAAAAAATTCCTTTTACGCTATTAATTTTTTTAAATATATTATTTTTAATAATTATCCTATTATTTTTATAAAAATAAAAAAATACATTTTTTAGTATTGAATGTTCTTGGTGGATTTTTTTCTTGTGTAAACTTCGTAACTTCCCAGAATTGTCTCCACAGGTTGTTAGGTATATGTTGAATTACTGCTGCTTGAATCAATATCAATAACCTTTTGTTAGATTTTAGGCTTTTATAAAGTAAAAACAAATAAAAACTTTTCATCTTTACTTTCACTTGCCTATATATGAAATATATAGTAAAGGAAAGTATTGCGACCATGAAAATTTTTAAATCTCAGATTTCAACGAAAATATATTTTTTGAGTCCAAATAACCAAGTTTCGCAAAATGGTCAGTGTGTCTGTGCGCGTGTGTTAATAGTCTAGCTCAAAAATGAAAACTCGTACGAAACTGATATTACGTATTTAACGTTTGTATATGATTCAGATGCGACAGCAACTTTTTCGTTAAAATCGGTCAACAGGTAGTACCACTTTATATCAGCGGTGAAACACATTTTTACAATTTTCTCAAAAACGGCTCCAACGATTTTGATTAAACTCGGTGTATCATTGTATAATTAAGTGGTCTTTAATATCATTTAGGTCTTATCCCCATTGATGTCACTTTACAGGGCTTATAATCCAAATGTTAATGTCTTTTCCAAAATACCTTTAATATGGTTTATTATAAAAAAATTAACTATCTTTTATCGACAGGAACT